GTTATCGCTATTGGCAGTGTATATAGATCTGTGGAAGGAGAATGCGCCTTCCAGCTCCCTGGATACTGGCCTACTACGTCTGCTTTTCTTAAAAAATATGTGACTTTTAAAGGATTCTAAAGTTTCAGATCTCTTGGATTTTGCTTACAAGCTAATTTAATAGGTAGTAGGATTAAAAAGCATTAAAAGTTCTCTAAACAGTTTCTCATTTTATCTTTCAAAAGATTTCCTAAGTGCTTTTTTGCCAAAAAGTCTTAACTTGGCATTACAAGATGTGCTGTCTTCCCAAACTCAGTCAAGAAACATGTTAGCTATGCTTGAGATGATCATACAGCTGATATAAAAATTTTCTGACAATGTTCAAATTAAAATGTGAAAGGAAGCCTGAATGAGTTTTTAAACTACTTTTATGGAGAACTTAACTGGAAAAGAGGCTGCATGATTTAAAGAAAAAAGTTTCAGTTTAAGCAAATATGGAATTAAAACTAGAGGCTTGTATTACAAAGATATAACATTATTGATTAAGATTGTATTCAGATTATTTTTGATATAATGGAAGGTTGGAGGCAAGCTGATGAATATACAGGGATGTTTCTGTGATGTTGAGTATGCCCACTTAGCTGAGTAAATTTTTGCCCAGTTCTTGGATTCCATGTTTCCCCCCCCCAACTTTTTTTTCCTGACTCCATACAAAATAGTCTTCCCTGTGAGATAAGTAATTCTTCTGAAGGAAAAGGTTTTCCTTTCCTTAACACATGTAAGTAGAGAAGTTTGAGAAAGCATAGGAAATCAGGATTTCACAGAGTGCTTTCTTGCCAAGCCATCTGGAATAAAATCTTATTTCTTTGTTCCTTAATTACACAAATGCGTGTCTGATAATTTGTAGCCAAAATGGACTGTCAGCTGGCAAGCTTCCTTAGGCCTGTGGTGTGATATTCTTAGCCTTCTGTAGTTCCCAGGAGTGAAGCTGTTCTTTAATAGTTTCAGAGCCCCCAGAAGTTTTATGCCTAAGCTATGTGGCAAAACGCTGTATTTGTGGAAAGAAAAGGAATATTGACTTCCTGTCTGGAACTTGATTGCCTTTATCTAGAAGATGACTATGAAAGACATATTTCAGAAAAGGAAATGTTCATAACTAATAAACTTTTCTTCAGCTCTGTGTGAATGCTGTCTTACAGCTATACTGCTATACTTAATTGTCAGATGTAAACCAAAATAGTTTAAATTAAATGTTAAAAAAATGTATGCCATTGCTTAAGTAATATGCAAGGAAATAATTGTATTCTCACTTGTATCTTTCATTTTTAGGTATTTGTGAATATATTCAAAGGTTACATCTCAAAGTTTAGTAGATATTTGTATAATTGAGGCTAATGTAGTAGCATTACTGAGACACTAAAATGACATGGGATGAAAAGTTTCCTCTCCAGCTGAAAGCAGATAGGAATGCAGGCAAGGAGTCCTGCTGCTGTTCACAGTCAAGATGTTCAGATATCTTGCTATGGCAATTTGTTTCAATTTCGTTCTGTTCATTGGAGTTTCAGCAAGCATAGTATTTTTGTGTAATTTACTTTATCATCTAAACAATTCTTTTCTGTAGGGTATCCAGAAAACTAAGCTACACTGATGGGAAAGACCAAAATCCTAGCAATCCCTTGGATGACTTCCTGGCCAAAACTCACCAAGAAGCATTCACGGACTGCTACAGAGAAAACATTGTTTTATAAAGTTTGGTTTGGTTTTGTTTTTCTTTCTTCCAAGAATCAGGGATGTATTATATGTATGTAATATACAGTTAGTCCTGATTTCTATTTCACTGTAATATAAATCTTCAGGAACTGGTTCATCCCTTCTAACGTGGCTCTTTTTACTCCTTTGGCTTCATCAGGTATTGCAGGGAATCAGTGTTCCTTTCTGTGGCTAAGTTTAAATTATGTATTTAGTAGTGTTTATGATAACAGGATGTGATCCATATTATCTTTTTATCTGCTGATAAGCTTTAATTCTTAACATATTGGGAATAAGATAAGTAACAAGCTCTTTCTGCTGAATTCCTGCCTATACATGCTTTATAGATGTAAATGAATAAAAAACCATAAACTGGGCTGTATGATCAAAATGCAGTATTACACGCTATGACTTGTAATATGCCTGCTGTGTAATTTTAATGTTAAATTTTCCAAGTATATCACCAAAGTTGATGGTTCAATAAATTTTATAATTTTAGTGGATTTGATAGTTATATGCTTTGTTCTGACAAAATTCTACCTGAGACAATATATATTCTAAATAAAACCCTATTCTGAACAAATACCTGCTTTCAATGTTTTATTTCAGGTATGTGAATTCTCAGGAGGAGTTTGTATACCTACAGCAAATATATGAGAATGATGTGGCAGGGTCCCACAGGTTTTCATTGCTGTGTTTTTTCTTAGCAAGGAGATTGTTTGAGTGGTAAGTGTCAGGTCAAATACACTCTGTTTTATCATCATTGCCTGTTTTCACCTTTATGAGCTCCAGAACAGGAAAAAAAAATTCCTTTTCTTTGGCTTTACTTAATTTCTGGGCACACAGGAGTGATTTATCTTATTTTAGCTCTTAAAACCAAGATCTTGTTATTTCAAGTGGTGTTCTTCAATGGAACAACAAGCCAGCTTCATTGAGGTTTACTCTGCGATAAGACAAAACTTCCGCAATATACACACACACGTTCTATCCGTCATCATTTGTATATTATGTTTCCTTCAACAACAGCAACAAAAGATTGTCTTTTAAAAATGCTTTTGTGGCTCATTTTCCTTCC